CTCTGTTAAACTTAAGTTTCTAATCTTTCACTGGATGTACAAAAGAGATCCAATAAAAGCAGAAATAGAATTTTCCAGAATCTTGCAGCAAAGATAAAAGCAATCAGATTTTCCAGTCCCTGAGGTTTTACTCTGTGGGCTTTTAGTATTAGTGCATTTAAAAACTAGTGCATTTAAAAATCTGATCCTTGTTTGCCTTAAAACGGCATGTGCCAGATTTACCGAACCCTGCCACGGACATAAGCGTTGAACATTGGAGCTGGAAGGATCTAGAAGGTTCACCTGGACTAAACGAGGGCACCAAGGCTGGCCTAGTTCACAAGATAAGGCAGTGCCAAAATGCCCACAAATTACCAGTTCAATCTTTTCCTTAAGTGCCATGAAAATGTTAAAACACAGACAGTGCTCGGAAATGAGCTCTCTAAAAACAGTTTTCTAAGCTTCACAGGCTGGTATTTTTTTTAACTACTTACATAGCTAGCCGTGTAATGCAGTATCTCAGTTCCCAAAAGAGCAAATCCACCCTTCAGGAAACATACTACAGGCAACTACATTTCGTTGTTTTTGTAGTTTTCTGTAAGCGCCTCCCCTATAGGTGCGGTCATTTAAGCGTATAGAAAACATGGCAGGGTCTGACAGTTCTAAACCATTCTCCATTTTGATGTATTCGCCAGCATTTTCAGATTCTCAACCTTCAAAGCCATTGTTCAGGGTCGTTGCAGGGATGAAATAATATATGTAAAATAATTAGAAAAGTGCTGGGCATATGATAAGTGCATATGGTAAACAGTAGCTGTTTTTTTGTGTTATGGGCAGCAGAGTTTTCCATCTCGATAGAGCATAGCTTGTCACGTTCCCATCTTCCTCCCTAATCTTGGTTTCCGAACTAAATAATTTGGTGTTTACACGGCTATTACCTCCCTTTTCCCCGCCAGTTCCTCGCACTCAAGTCGCACTGTGGCTGCAGGGATTCCTGGGGCGTAAGGACCTGGTTGATGCCGCTTTCTTTCCCATCACTGCAGAGCTGAGTTTATTTCTTTGTCCGTGTGGCCCTTCTGTGTTACCCACTGCTCCTGCTTTCCAGCGCCCACCACCGCTGCCGCCAACACAGCCATTTCTCTCTTCTGATTTTCTTCTTCACGTTCTTGGCTGTTCTCTCGTTTCTTCTGTACGTTTGTATCGTGCACACAAAGCCTGACCTTTGTTGATAGTGATTCTCCTTCCTTGCCGGCACATGAGTTAGATCTGGCTCTTTTTTTGCTATGCTTATCTGGTTACTGGGTTCTTGGAGCTCTCTCTTTGCTGGTTATATATATACATATATATGTGTATAGACACATATATAATAGTATATATATTAAATTTTTTATATTTATTTCATATAGAGAGAATTTTTTTTCCTCCTGGGGAATGGGAGAGAAGGAGAATTTAGGTAATGCTTCCTAATCTGGAACTATTTCAGAAGGCTGGATTATGATGATGACGATAATAACAATAATAATAATAATAATCGCCCCTCCCCCACCACTACCACATCACTGCCACAATGAACACAGTAAATAAAAATAAGCCTTTGAATGGGACTACGTGCCAGATGTTGGTCAGAGTGATATACACGGATAATCTCAATGAAACCTCACAATACTACTGTGGGAACAGATAATATTATCCCCACATTTGAGACGAAGAAATGGAGACATGAGACGTCAAGCCCCATGCTGAAGTCCCACGGACAGCAAGGGCAGGGCTGTTGGACAGGCAGCCTGACTCTAGAATTTACGCTGTTAGCCACAGTGCAAGATGTCACTGTACCTTTAAGCCCAACCTTCTAAATCTCACAGAACCAAAGAGGTGATCATCAAAAATCTTCTGAAGTGAATCAGCATAACACCCACTGAGTCATCTGGGTTACTAGAAAATTCCTTCTAGTATCGTGAAATCCTAACATTATGAAACCTTAGTAACTAAATCTCTGAATAACTCATCATCATACCTTATATTTACAAGGTATATATTTAAAAGGTCAAAGGATACTGGAGAAAGTACTAGGTAAAACGCTCCCAAATCACTAAAAAACATACTGTCATCCAGGATTCTAAGATCTTTTAACAGATATAAGATTGATATAAGCAAAAATCACTGTTATTCATTAAGGATAATAGAATTTAGAGCATTTTGACAATAATTTCAGACATTGTAGAAAGTTTTATATTAAAAAGAAGTATTGCAAAGACAAAGGTCAATCGATTCCCATGACTGGGCACAGTGGATAAAATCATTTCATCCACTTCATTTTCTACAATGCACTTAATATTTAAGAAATACATATTAATCAGAGTTTACTTATTTATCCACATTTGACCATAAGGAGTTTATAGCATATCACGTATCATTATCCAACATCAGACTGGCAGCTTTCAAGTTAATAGCATATGATTCTTTGGCTTGGTGTGTGAAAGTCATATTTTAGATTATTCTGAAAATGAGTGAGGCACCATTATAGAAATATCCATATGAAATAATACCTCAGTCATGGAAAAAGGGCTCTAAAATCCCACTGGAAAGGCCATTCAACCAGGGGACGCTTAAAAACACAGAAAGTTGTAATGCAACATCCCAGATGCAATGAAATCTATAACTAGAAAAGCAATGCTATACTTGCTGTATTTGGTGCTACACATGTCCTTATTTCTGCTTTAAAATAGGCTTTTTTCCACCTCCAAGTTAACGTTCTTTTCTCCTCTTTCATGTCCACTCTGCTCTCTACGCTGACGCTATGCTTACAGCTCTGACAGCTCGTTAGTCCTCTTAGGAACTTTCTTGCCACATAAGCTTTGGATCTGCGAGGACAGAAAGATAAAGCTAAGTCAAGGGCAATATTTCTCGAACTCTCTGAGACACACAGCACGCTTCTCTTCTCCTAATCCTTCCCAGGCTGAAAATTTAGCAAAATATAATAGTTACGTATGACTAAAAGAATGAGATGAAAAAAGAAAAGACACAGAGTGCACGTCTGATTTCACCACCATAAGATTTACTACGGACGTACCATGAAAGTTTCTAAACACTTAACTCGCAATTTCTGTACTCAGCCCATTGTGGGTGGTAACCAAAGAGCTGCACATGGGCTCAAGCCCAGGAATCACACAAATTTTAGCTTCCCGTGCAGGAAAAAAAGGCTCTTAAAAATGATAAACCGGAAATACATCTATAAAACATTACTAAAGTTTAAGAGACGTAATATAAGAAATAATAAGAAAAGACAAACACCACGATGCAAGAAAAGAAAAACTGGTTTATCAGCTCAATTTTCTAAAAATACACATGAAAACAACAATAAAATCTCGGACCTTCCAAAATGACAATTTTTTTAAAAAGTAAAATATTTAATGTGTTCACGCTAATTCACAGCCCTTCCTTGTGGAAATATATAACAAATCCCTAAAAGAGTTGAAAACAGTTTACCTAGCAATTCCACACTTAAGTTTACTCAAAGGAAATAATTAAGCATGCACATAAGGTATTCGTGGCATTGCTCCAGACGTCCAATAATAGGGGGGTTAAATAAGATATATCTGTGAAACCATGCAGCCATTAAAATGATGCCATAAAATAGATTTTATTGATGTGAAAAGGTGTCTATAACATATCTGTTACTTAAAAGAGCAGGTTGCCAAGTCTACCAGCGGATGAATGGATAAAGAAGGTGTGGTACACACACACATACAATGGAATACAACTCAGCCATAAGAAAAGAAAGAAATTTTGCCATTTGCAGCAACAAGGATGGACTTGGAGGGTATTATGCTAAGTGAAAAATGTCAGCCAAAGGTGGACAAATACTGTATCATATCACTTATATGTGGAATCCAAAAAATAAATTAGTGAATATAACACAAAAGAAACAGACTCACAGATACAGAGAACAAACTAGTGGTTACCAGTGGGGAGAGGAAAGCGGGGAGGGACAAGATAGGGGGAGGGGATTAAGGGGTACAAACTATTATGTATAAAATAAATGAGCTACAAGTATGTATTGTACAACACAGGGAATATAGCCAGGATTTTGTAGTAACTATAAACGAAATATAACCTTTAAAAATTGTGAATCATTATGTTGTACTTCTCTAACTTATGTAATATTGTACATCAACTCAATAAAAAAAACAAATTTTTTTTAAATAGCAGGTATTTAAATCTACTATAGCTTGGCACTACTGAAAGGATGCATATCATTTGTTAAACTGATTAGCGGTAAAAATAAAATATTAGGAGAATGTTTAAATTATGCGAGAACAATTTTCAAGTATCTTAGACACATTTTCACGATAATAATCTGCTAATTACAGTAATGCCTACTCTTGAAACAGCTCTGACAACGTAAACTTTCAGCTGTCATCCATATGACTTGCACTTACATTATGTTTTGTCTATAGTTTCAAAATCAGAACCCAGGGATGCGTCCTTGGAAGCAATAGCTTGAAGATGCATTGAGTGGCTGTCAATTTGATCTCCTGGTCTTTGGCAGATCATTTAGTCAACACCTATCACATGCTCTATTTCCAGAGCCGTGATAATGAAAATGAAGAAAACATACCCCTTTGAGACAGGCTGATTGGCGACACCAAGTGCCAGGGTTTTTAGCATGTATCATACTACAACCTCTTACATCATTGACTCTGCTTTTTTTTTTTTTTCCCACTCTTTTTTTAGTTGATAGAAGCAAAGGCAGAAAACTTCAATGACACAAAGAATTTTAGAGCTTTTTGTAAAAGAACCTGAGTGATCATCCAGTCTAACCCCTGGATGTTATAAATATGGAAATTTAGGCCTGGAGAGCAGGGAAGTAAAGAACCAGACTAGAACCAGGTATCTTGCCTCCAAGCCCAGCCCACTTTCACCATCATCCACTACTTACACAGAATATCACGTGCCACTTTAGAAAGTAATTATTGTCCCACAGGATTAATGAAAAGAGCAATGCCAGTGTGTATACAGACCTTGCATCTGGTAGCTGTATGGTGCCTGTCCAGGTTGAGGGGTCCCAAAGCTTGTACCATAGCTGAGAAATCCTGTCTGTCCAGGTGACTGAGACTGTGACAATCCACCTTCAGTCTTGATGCCTGCCCACAATGCACCTAAATCAGTTAGTGATAGCTTATCTATCTGTTCATTTTCAAAAGCTGGTCCATATACAAAAACACTCCCACAACTATCCAATTACAAACGCTTCCCCCCCCCACCAGTGTTATCTCAATAACCAAGGCCATAGAGTGAAATACCCTTCACTGTAACTTCAATTAAAAAGAATAAAACCAGGATTATTACAGATTTCAATGCCTAACCGCACTGTTCTTTTCTTTTGTTTTCCTGAATTCCATTTTCTATAAAATTTAACTCCAGTGATATCATTTCTATAATTAGTTGTATTGCTTTACAAGAGTTTAAGATCATCTTTACAGTCCAGAAATGGCCATAATTAAACTTGAACATTATTCTAAATGTTCTTGCATTAACATCAGAATCAAAATATTTTTTCTAAAAAGTGATTAATTAGAGTCTCTAGCCTCATAACATTAAAAACATTTTTTTTCTTTACTCTTTCTACACAAAGCTGATTTTAGTACACAACGCAGTTTGAGGTCAGAGGTAGCAATATTGGGCATAGAACTAAGCAACACAGGGGGATACCTTCTCCCAGATATCCAGATCCTACCAGGCAGTAAGCACAAGAGAAGAATAATAGTAAAGAACTCAATCCTATAGAACAGCATAGTGCTTTATAAACAGCACAGAGAAATAGACAAGTGGTTCTCTTTTTGTCCCTTATAGTTTCAGGCTTTTATTCAAATATAATTGTTTTAAGTGTAACAAAAAGTACACTTCCTTTTCATCACATAATGTAAAAATAATGTATTTGTGGCCCCCCAATACTTCCCAAAGTGCCAGGCTGACATCCTAATTTCAGGACTTGGGTTTGGCGGTATCGTTGTACCAGGGCTCAGCCCTGGATCATAATTAAAGACACTCATGAACGTTAACAACTGTCCTTAATTCCCACAGAGGGAGGGGATGAAAATTTCTGCCAAGGGAATTCACATTTTGGAATAATTTTACTTTTCACTTAAGATAAATAATATCTTTGGGATCTAGAATACACAGTAGTCTCACTGTTTATTTCCATTTTAGGGGAATTTCATCAGTAGAATGAAGTTAGGTAACTTTCCTAAGGCAGTGGAAGAATCTGACTCTTGGCGAAGAGAGCCTACTCTAATTCCTGAAGTATCTCTAAGTAACCTCATAATGGCCTTACATTTCAGTCTTAACACAACCTTAGCATTTTTTTAAAATGTGACTTTCCCTGTACTGGCAATCCCAAACCAGTGAATAACCCACACTTATAAATGGTCCCTGGAAAAACAAGTGCCCAAGACAGGTGGTTAGATGGCTCTAGAAAACTCCCTTCCTTTTCATGGTGTCACAATAGAGATTTTCCCCCTTCTCTCTCCATTTGATGCTATAATGATCTGCTTTCAGTCTTCACCTGTGCCACCTCTGTTTTTAGCCTGGAGGCTCAGGATGGGCATCTTCGTGATAAGAACAGGTAAGGAAAAGCAGGAAGAGGTAAAAAACACCCATAGCCACACCTGTGTCCATAGCTTCTATCCACAAGCTGTCAAACTCATCTCACTGGTCGACTCCACGCAGATCCAGTGAAGAATGGCACGACCTCTTCCTCCTCGTGGACCCCTTGCTCTTACTATGAAAAGATTTGCCTATCTTTTCTTATTGGGTCTAGGTGAAAAGTCAGGGGACCTAAGTCCTTGGAGAAAGTCTTCTAGAACTATCAGGACCTTAACCATCAGCAGTTAAAACCCCTAAACGATGTGCTCTTCCTTCAGAGCAAGCAATAGGGGAAGGCTGCCATATTTTTCCATGCACTGGCCCAAGAAAAAGAGAATGGCTGGTCAGAAGCACTGGGGCATCTCCTTGTCCTCAAGGTACGAAAAGAGAAGAGAAGAGGTGATCAGAAAAATACTAAGGACTGAGAATTATTCCCAGGAGATTTATAAGCATGGAAGGTCCTGGGATCAAAGCCCTTTACACTGAGACTCCCTCTCACCACCTCCCCGATCCCCACCTGCCACATGAAAATCCCCATTTTCATCCTACTAGTTCTGAGCCTAACCTCCGAACCTCTGCTCATCTCACTCTACTGGAACAACTATTTCAGACAACAGGGCCACCTGTTGATGGTTTAGAACTAGAGAAGTCCTTACCCCACAGCCCAGAAATTGGCAAAGGGCCCTTCCATGACTGAATGGGGAAGAGAAAGAAAAACAAGAGAGCTGTGTGAGTGGCAGCCAAGGCGGTAACAGGAATGGTACCTTCCCCTGGCAGCACTGATAGGTCTACAGTACTTGAGTATTGCTTGTACTGGAAAATACATTTCTACTTCAAATAATCAGCTTACAAATAAATTTTGAGGAAATAAATTGGGGACTGCCTTAACTCACATTATAGAATTGAAGTTACACAATTCAAATCATAGAATCTTTTCCCTCTTTTAGCATAAGAATAGTTTAAAAGTAAATTACAGACAAATTTAATCTATATTTAACGTTATTTTGAGAAACGACTAAAAGTCATGGAAATGAAAGATAATTTTAGAAAGTCCATTTTATGGCTGTTTTTAAAGTCTGGTTGAAAAACACCTCCCTAGATCACATTCAGTTGTGATCTTTTTAAAATAAAACTATGAATGTTAAAGTCATACATAATTTAGATTTTAATTTGTATATATTTTATAAGAAATTTATATATGGCCAATTTGATTTGGGGTAAAAACAGAATAAAAAAGGAAAAAATAATTTACCTTCTAATGATTAATGAAATGCTTAAAGAAGAACATTATTTCTTTCAATATACTGAGAAAAGTTTATGAAATAACGATAGCAGCAGAAGCATAATTAGAATATTGATCACAAAATACTCCACCAGTTTTTTCTATCAGTCTTGCTCCCAAACTTTCATGTATTTTTTTCTGGATCACTAGGTTTTATTTATTTCTTAATAAAACGCCAATAATCCATATTTTTCTCTTCCAACAAGTTTCAGTTTGTTTAAAATTACAACTACCATTCAATGGAAGTGAAGGTATTCTGGAATCCTAAGCTTTTAAAAAATTAAACTTTGAAGTTTGGCTGGATTTATTTTTAATTTACAGGTATTGACCCTGTAACAATTGAGTCAAATTACACTAAGATAAAGATAATCTCCAGGTGGGAAGGAACAAATAGGGATGTGAGCTTTAAATGTTTCCTGATTGGCCTCTTTAAAGTGCAGCCCAAGCCATGATATAGATCACTTTTCCTAATGGTTGATAATGCTGAAATTTGAGACTACTACCCCCCCTCAAGTTTAGAGCCAGGGTTTGTTGAACTCTGCTTGTACTTCTCTAATCATAGCTCAGCATCTGATAAATAGGAAATGAATCTTCACCCCAAAAGACTCCATTCACAGAAGTTTTATCAGAAATATGCACCAAAATACTTTGGATTCCAGAGCCAAGCGCTCAAGTGGCAAATTAAGAATTGAGATATAAATGGAAAAAAAACAAAAAACAAAACGAGAGCAAGAGGGCATATGAACCATGGTATTTGCCACCTCTGACCTCAAGATAAGTAACTACCAGCTCTTCCAATGTTCATTAAAAACTATCATTTTAAGAATTTAGACACAAAAGGTGACCACCCTTTCTCAAGTGGCCCAAGAGGATCGTCTTTAAGTACCACTCCTGTGAAACTTTCACAGGTACAGGTGTGCCCACTAGACAACGTCAGTGCTAAAGCCGAGGGATTACTCACCATAGGAGGAAATTCCATAGGGCTGTCCCGGCTGTGGGTACGTGGCATAGGCTGTAGCTTGTTGCATTCCTGTGGTAAACTGTGTTTGCCCATATGCAGCCATAGTTTGTGAGGAAGGGGTAGGGAGAATATGTGGGTATGGTCTGCTATTTGTCAGAAATGACAGAAAATAGAAAGCCCATGCATTAGATGGAAACATGCAAGGTAACTGATTACCAACCAAATCACAAATTCCAGTTAAAGACTGTTTCTTAATGTAAAACTTTCAAGTGTAATACACAAAGAACCAAAATACTACAGCGTCCCTCCTAGGTGATGCTCCAAATAAATTTGCGTAAATACATTTAGGTCTCTATGAAACACGCTTTAGTTTAAATTAAGATGTAACGTGTGGGCACCAGACACGACTTGAAATAAGGTAAAAGGCTACTCAGAAAAGTTATTTATTGATTAAGAGAAAATATATCTTACTTGGAAGGATAAATCTGTGGTGGGGAGAATTGGTGAGACGGTCTTGGGCTGAAGCTACTGCTCCCAATGGCTGGAAAAAGAAAAATAATGCACAATAATCCAAGCAAAATACAAAATATGGATAAAGCATTGATATAGTTTCAACTATAGGTTGTGGCCACATGAAACCGTAGACCTTTTGGACCCGCAGAAATGGCAATTTCATAAGTCAACCTAACAGGAAGTTAAACTATATTAAGGAACCTATAGGAACTGATCAAGTGATTCGAATTTTAAATCAACTCTTAGAAAACATAGTCATAATATTCTTAAATACCTGTCAGTGATGGCTTTTACAGTGGCAATACTTTAAGAGCACAGGGAGTCCTGGCCACTGGTTGGAACCACCGCGCTGAAAGGGGAGGGATGAACTTGAATTACAGGGCTGGGCGGGACCGGAAGGTCCTCTGGTCTATTGTTTGTGTTCAAGGGGACACACGCCCCTGAGACTGTGTTACTGAGAAATGCAGTCTAATCTCCTCTCAGGGAAGTAGAAATAGGACAGATCCTCATTTGCCTGCATTGATTCAGCAATTTTTTAAAAATAAGAATGCATTCCTACAACCATCTAAAATTTCTCAAGTTGCAAACTAAGCCCGTTTTTTCTTGCATGGAGATGGATATTCCTTTGCCTTTCAGTTATATATGCTCCACTTCAGCATTCAAGTCACAAAGTTTTTTTTTTAAAGAGATTATTTAAGCATTCAAGCAGAATCTCATTTCTTTTTAATCACATATACTTGATTCAATAAGTCTCAGAAATGCACGAAAGTCTTCTATCAAATATTCTTTTACAATCATTCTGAACTAAAGAAGCAAACAAAAAACCTGGTTGTTTTTCTTTTTTTTTTTTTTTTTTACTAACATGAGGCCTTAAAATGGTGATTCTCAGCTTCTTTCATTGTTAACATGGGCCATCTATTTATGTACATAAGTATCTACACACATTTACATATATACACATTTACATAAATATATACATACATACATACACACACACACACATATATATATATATATGTGTATTTCCCCTTTTCCCTTCAAACTCACCCTATGCTTTTCCTGGCTAAGATGCATATGCTTTGGGTACAATTATTATAAGATGTAATATGTTTATTTTCTTCTACGAATAACCACTGTTTGCAGAGGCTCTATTATTTATTCATTATATTCTACATTAAAACCTTTCATAAGCTTCCATGAACTCCAGGTTTTATACATTTTCATGATATCACATCAGTACAGTTATGTTTCTCAAATGTAATTTTCTAGCTTGTGTTTGGGAAAACAGTGGTGGTTTTGGGTTAGAATCTCAAAACCTATGACTAATCCTTTCCCGGTAAAGCAAATAGGCCTAACCCAGTGACAAGAGAATAGATGAAGGTCAGCAGTACTCATGAGACCTGCCAGACTTCGACCCTCTGGCTGTTGGTCTGGCAGAGATGGAGGTCATATTAATGAGAGAAGGCAGGCCAGCTTGGCTGGTGTCCCCCATCTCTTGGCACACGTTGGGTCACTACTCTGTTCCAGGCATTGCACTCCATGCTGAAGATGCAAACATGCAAAGACAAGTCCTGTCGTCGCACGTGGGGAGGCCAACATACAAACAGCTACGTGAGGATTAAATACAATTTATAGAAGGGAGAGAATGCCTGGACCACAAGCGCTGCCACTTGCCCAGGCCACCTGCGATTACAACCTTTCTAATGCCCTCTTCTAGGCCTGGAAAGAGACCAAGGGCAGAGAAGATTTATCCAGCAGAGCTGCTGGAGGGGTAATACCTTCCCTGGATCATCATAGATAGAAAGAAGTTTTTTAAAAATGAAACCACAACACAAATATGTACTACCACACAAAAAACCCCAAAAGCCATCTGAAGATGGAAGCCGCAGAAATCCCTTTTATTCTTTTCTTGCTCTATCCCTGTGTTTTTCAAATTATGGGTCACAACCCATGAAAAGATTGTAAATTCAGCTTCATAGGTTCTGCTCAGCAATTTTTTATAAACAAATAGAATAACAGAATAGAAGATATCAGGGTGATTGTACAGCATAAGGTAGGTTCCACGAAGCTCTGATTTAGATTATATGCATAATATATGTGTGTACACATGAAGAAAGATTTGGGAGGTTGCAGAGTGTGGTAATACAAACACAGTTTCTGGAATTAGAATTTAATTTCAGCTCAGATTCAAGATCCAACTCTTCTACGTGGTCTTGGTCAAGTTATTTGATCCCTCTAAGCCTTGACATGTTCTCATGTAAAATGATGGCAGTAATACTACCTACACCTCTTGGGATGGTTGTGAGGAGTAAATGAAGTAATGACATAAAGCAAATAATACTGTGTTTGTGTAAGAAATGTTTAACATCTCAGATTCCCAAATTCCCACTATCTTTGCCCCCACATTTGCCCTTTTACTGTATTTTTAATTCTACTCGATGGACAGCATCACCATCTATCCAGCAAAAGGCTTAAAAACAGGATTCTTTATCCCCATTTTATATATGGGGCTAGAAATTAAGTAACATGTCCAAGCAAATAAATAGGAAAGCTGGTATCTGAACCCACATCTGCCCACTCTTTCCACCAAAACATACTATCCCCTGACCCCCCTTCACAGAAACTAGAAACCTCAGAATCATCTCATTTTTTTCTCCCTCTGTGACTCTCAAGTCACCCATCTCCAATTCAGAAACACCCACTGAGCTGTGCGGCATTCTCCATCCCTCCCCTCCTGTCCCGGGGCGGGTCCTCATTATGTCTCACCTGGACTAGAGAAACAGCCATCTAGCTACTCACTCTGCATTCCACCCACTGCCCTTTGACTCTCACTTCTGCCACCACACTGATCTTCCTTACCCGGAAACTTCTTCACGTCCATTCTCCAGTTTACAATCTCTCACCTGCACTTATACTATCCCTAGAAAAAAATTCCAAATTCCTTGGAAGATTATATAAAGATATTCAAGCATCCACCCTCCTGTGGGTTTAGAGTTACACAGCATCCCTGGACTTGAGGACTGCCCGTGCATGCCATGCATTTTCCTGTCTGTCTTGGTTGGTCTTCATGTCAGAGCCTACTGCCATGTTAATGCTCTTCTTTCCTCTACCTGTCAAACACTCTTCCACTGGGACTAAAACATTATTTTCTCTTTAGGATAATATCTTCTTTCTCTGTACGTTTTGGAATGTTGTAAACACTGGCAAAGTGGCACTCACCACACTACATGATGGTTAGTTTATGTAGTGTATAGATGTTAGTTTCCTCGGCTACCCATGAGCTTCCAGGGCCAAGGACCTCCTACTCTCCTTTCTTTCCTTGGCACCTGGTAGGGCCTGGCATGTGGTAGGTAATCAATAAATAACATTTGTTTACTAAGACTGTGAGGTTTAGGTCATAAGCAAAGTAGATATTTTTAAACCATAATAACTTGAAAGATGGTTAAATTATTTTAAGTTATTTATAAACACACAACAATAAACCTGATCTTTGGCAATATAAATGGGTCGATAGTTTTCCTTATGAAATAGATGTGAATAAGAACCCATGATGCTGCCCGAGTATGTTGCTGCTACTTACCTGTGTGCACCTAAAATTACTGACTATGTAATGCCATGTAAACAGCCATACCCTTAGGGCTTTCTCTAAATTCAAACCCCTGTGATCTCTGTGTAGCCTAAAGTCAAGAATCTTCCACCTTCTACCTCAAGTACTTTTTTCCTTAATTGCCTAAAACACTTTAAACTTTTTAATAATAATCTAAGAATTCAGATTATTTTTAATTTCATGAGACCAGAATAACCTAAGGCAAAAAGAATGCTCCCAGTCCATTTATCAAGGTAAATAAATTGTTTCTCTTACCATTAGTAAACTCCAAAGGCCACATGGCAGAGCCCTGGGGATGTAGGGACAACAGATCCTTCTTTGTTTTAACACTCTCGTTTCCTATCATTGCATTCTTTCTCCTACCTCTCACATGTAAGTTAAAGAAGCTCCCCAAATCTTACTGCAGGAAGGGAGAGAAGGACCCATGGTGAATTAATATTCACAAGCTAGAGAATCCACTGAGAAAGTCGATAGAAATCTAAAAATTAGCAAGTCCTCAGTTCATGGCTCCCCTGGGCTCCCATCTCATCCATGTCAACATCATTCAGCTGGACACACAGGTCAAAAGCCTAAAAGTTAAGTTTTGATTCTTCTCCTTTCCTCATACCCTTTTATCCTAAGTCCAGTCAGCTCTCCCCTCCAAATATAGGCTAAAAGTGACAACTTCTCGCTCTCTCTTGTCTGCCACTCTGCTCCAGTCACCAACGTTGGCCGTGGCCATCAGAGAGGGCAGCCAGGGCACCGCCCCCTGACCTCACCTTCCCTCCCCTCCCAGATAGGATACTGGCACACTGCATCCTGCTTCAGTGGTTCCTCCAGGAAACACGTGGGCTAACACAGTCCTCTTCTTCTGCACCAGGAAATTCTGGTCTCCCTGCTTCTCCTTACCTTCTTCCCACCCTTCTCCCAAAGAGAATTTTCCACATGACAAACAGTGATCTCTTAAAAACATAAATTAGATCATCATGTCAAACCCCTCCTTGCCCTCAACTCCGAACCCTGTTATCCTGTTTCATTTTGATTAACCCAAACTTATTCCCTCACTTCACTAAGACCTCTGCTCAGATGCCCTTTCCTTAGAGAAGCCTTCTTTCTAAAAGACACCCCTACCCACTCTTTACCATAGTCTTTGATCTGCTTTCGTTTTCTTCAGAGCACTTTTCACTGCCTATTTACTTATATTACCACTTACCACTTACCTATTTATCATTTTTCTCTCCCACAAGAATGAAAGCTCCATGAGAGCAGGGACCTGTCTACTTTTTCACCTCTATATTCCCACTGTCTAGAACATTTCCTGGCCCACAGTAGGTGCTCAATACAGAATTGTTGAATGAATGAATCAGATCCCAAAAGGTAGATCTTTTCATGAACAATTACGAAAACAAAGAAATCATATTTGTCAGATGTGATTTTTTTCT